GGGGGCAGGCACAGTGGGACTGCTGATGAAAGGCACCCAAGATCTATACTGAGTGCATTTCCTGTGAGCCTTGGTCCTGCACCCTCTCTTCTGGATTGTGCCAGCTGAACCCAGACCCCACAATAAGGAGCCCTGTTATACAGTGCAGAAGTTCTGTCTCTGGGGGTTCCTGGGTTGATGTCCTCTAGCAGAACCCAGGACACAAACTAGATATGATGAACATAATTATGAATAGATAACAGGCTTGTCTTATTTCAAGATTCTATGCCCAGTTCCAGGCCTCTTAATTTTAGAATTTCAAGCTCAGAACCAAATTTGAGAATGACCCAAAGACATTTCCATATTAGAATGATCTTCATTGCTAATAATGGCACAACCTTGGCACCAGGAGGAATTAATAGAAGTGCAGAAATAGAGACCCATGGTATGACTGCTCATTCATATTACTTATATCTAAAGGTTCATATAACTGATTATTCTAGTTTTTTCTGTGTTAGGACAGTGAAGATACTCTCTGTGAGCTACAAGTTCATGTTCAGCCAAATCGCTGCACAATTCTGGAATCAGCCCGAAATCCAGGACACACGATTACCTTCACGCTTCAAGGCAAAGTAGCCAAGGATACAATAGGCTATGCAGAACTCTCAAAAGAATTTGTTGTGCATGTGAAGGTAAGGTTGGGGGAGAGAGATGAAGGAAAGTAAACTGTGCAAATTGTTTATTCTTGTTTATCCACTGTAGTTGAGCACATCCTGCAAACTGAACGTTGAAAGAGTGATCTCCTCCCACTAGGTGGAGCTAAAGACTGTGACTATTGCTTAACAGGGAGACATCATGATGTGAACCATGTGGAAGTCACAGTCAACCTTCCCAAGCCAGAGCTGCATACAAAATAGAACTGGATGGGGGAATTATTTGCATAGGAGAATTGAAGGAATACTCTTATGCCTTGTGACAAAAATATATAGTAACTTATACATGGAAATGCACTTGTGATGGTTTGAAAAAAACCTTCACATCTTTTGCTTAATTGCTAATGTAACGCTACAACTACTGATGATAGAGTATACCGATTTTTTGAGGAAAAGTGGCTTTTTTAAAAGGGGGGGTTGCCGAAAAACCCGTATCTTGTCTACTTTCGAAAGTGAGATCAGAAGAATTTGCATATCCTCTTTTGACAGTTTAGCATAGTCTAGATGAGCCCTCAGGGGTAAATTAGAGCTAAAAACAGCACAGAGCCAGGACTGGTGGCTGTAAACAAACTTTATGGACCCTGGGAATGTGGTGTGTTCCACAGTGGTGCCATAATTCTACTCACCACAAGTCTCTGCCAGGCTCTCTGCCTCATGCCTGATGGGAGCTGCAGTGGAGCAGGAAAGCAGTCTGAAGAATCCTACTGGAAAGTGCATAAAATCAGCTCTGGAGTTTGCATGATTGAGAGTCTGAAAAACCCAAGAATGTATCTGAAGATTAAGAATGGCGAGTGCAATGGAACAGTAAGCAGTTCTTGTTCACATTTACCTTTTGCAGTGCTTAATTAACTTGCCAAAGCCAGAGAGAAGTAAGAAAATCTTTAGAGTCAGTAAATCTTTAAAGTCAGTCAGATTGCACTATCCTCTGTTGTCTAAAACTTTTTACAATTCCCACCCAGTCATAAAACTTGCAGAATTGGGAAACTCTGCTTTGAAGACACGTTAACCTTCTCTTAAACCCTTATATAAATCAGAACTCCCTCTTTCATTGTATCTCTTTTTCTGATCACAAAATAATAGATCCAAACACAAGGCTATCTTTATAAATTGAATAATTAGACAACATAGTACTATGCTAAAACCTTAAAAAACAAACTGAATTGACACACACATTCAAGTTTTTATTTCAAAGTTGTCCAACTGTGTATCACATTCAATTGCTGAACTCACATTTTCTTATTACTTCTTTTTTTTTAGGGGACTGGTGATGTGTACTGTCACTTTAAAACTGAGAAGAATTTAGAAAGTGGATCTGTGAGTCTAGAATCTGTGCAAAACAGAGGGATGTATGTTGGTCTCCAACCTGATGGTCAGACCAAGCCAGTTGTTCACACTGGAGACAGAAACATTGTTTTCTACCCACGAGTCATTAAATGTATGCAACTTTGAATACTAAAGAAAGCCACTAAGTATTTAACATATTTTTAGCTGCCCATGTAAATATTTACAACCATAAAGTTTAAGGCAGAAATATAGAGACAAGATTTGAAAATTTGCTTTTGAATGTTTTAGTACTTTAAATGAGAAACATATACTACTTGCAACTCATTCCTTTCACATACATTGGTGATTTTTATACCAGTAATTTTTATCCTCAGGAATTAGAATTTTTTTTTCAGAATAAATGAAACTTGAGTGTTGGAAGGAGTTCCAAAAAACGTGTTCTTCACCTGAATACAGATTGTGTGTTTCTCAGCTATACTTCCTCCCTAACCTCAGTGTGCCCCACTGCTGGAGATGGCAAGAAATATATCTTAGGAGTTACCTAGACTGTTTGTATATTCACAGTAGACTCTCTCACTCTGGAAATCCCTAAACTGTGAATGCAATAGAGACTCTGTCTCACTGTCTGTGGTTGCAATCTATTAAAACCTGAGAGTTTTGGTTTTATACATTTCTCTGTTGCTAATCATGGCCACAAAGCACCTCTATGAAGACTAATGAATTAAGTATCACAACATCCTTATAAGGTAGGGGAAATAATATTATCCATGTTTCTACAGACGGGGAGCTTCCACACAGAAAGTCTGTGAAGAGTTAGAACCCAAATCTTTGGGTTCTCTGACCTAACCAAGACGCTGTACTTCCTCACAAATATCTACCCACTGCATCAATCTGTAGCTTTAACACTCACTTTAGTTGTCTGCAGATCAGTTCAAAATAATCACTTTTGTTCAACAATTAGAAGGTGTGAACAGTACAAAGCGCTTCTCATCATGAGTAAACTATGGAAGAGATTTGAAACTACTTCTCTGAGTTTCAATTGCAATGTCTATGGACAATGGTGATCTTGCTAAATATTGATAATATTTCTGTGATGCCAGCAGTCTGCAATAAATGACTAGAAATAGTTGATCAGTTTTTATCTTTTTTCACTTAACTAATGCTCCCTTTTTTATGAGGCAAAAAGAGAGAAATTTAATATAGGCATGATTTTTATGGGGGCACTAGGATACATGGGAACATGAAACCAGTCTTCAGGAACTAAAAGACATTAATTTGGGATTGCCTTTTAAAAATAATGTACAGTTGCTGTACTTTATGGGCTGCATTAGGCACAGACACATAGGGGTTGGGAGGCAGGTGTTGGACTAAGTGGCAGTACTTGAAATTAAGTTTGTCTATGTCCTAGTGCTGCCAGCGTTGTTGTTGTTGTTGTTATTTATTATTATAAGTGTCCAGTGATATGGGTAAGAGGTAGTCCTTCCTATGTCTTTAAGAATGGTATAAAAAGAGCTAGTCTATACTTCCCCAGGGCAGCCTACCTAGTACTGTGCCATGGCCAGATGATAAAGCCACATCCATCTAAACATTCTCTGACTGGGCCAATCTATTCTAATCAGCTTGGTAGTGGAGAGCTATACATTAGCTTTCCAAAGTCTCCTGAGGTGGAGTGCTAGAGACTAAATAGCCCCTTGCAACATCCCCACCCCCTCTAGTGCTCCCACATGGAGACAGACATACATTGAGTGTGAATTTTTAGAATTTCTTCTACTGATTCTTTTCTGATGGTGAATCATAGGGTGGATAACAAGAGCTACTAAGCCTCTCCCTCTTCCCCCCGTAGAAAGCAATTAAATAGATTGATTAAAACGTGCCATGCTTCACTCTCACAACCCCATCTCATGAAGAACTCTTGTATCTTTGAAGGCTATGCAGTTTTAATTCAAGGACTGCCTTGTCTTCATATGAAATTTATAATGCCATATACAAAATGAGAATCATTTCATATGATTAAAATGACCTTCTAAATTCACATTGCTTATGCTTTAATGATTTCATGTTTATAAATAGGATTTTGAAGAGAGCTGGGGCCTAGAACCTGAAATAGGCATCTAACTCGCCTTGATTTCAGAGGAAGTTAGGAGCCTAAACAGTGCCGAGGATCTGGAACCAAGTCATTTAAGTTCCCAGTTCTTGTTGAATTAGGCAATTAACTCTTCTAAGGTCCTTTGCAAAGCCCAGCCTTCATATTTTCCAAAAAAGTCCTGGGTTGTGATATGGCGTTTTAAGGGGGTGAAATATTATCCAATTCCCATCACACTCAGGGCTTGTCTATGCAGACACTGAGTTTGTAGCTGCCTGGGATGTAAATCTAGCTTGCACTATCCTGCTACTTGCTAATTGTCTACGTGGACCCTGTTGTCATACACACAAAGTTCCATTCCATGCTTCAATGTACCCCATAATGAAACACATGAGCCATTTGATAAAGATTTATACCATTCAGAGACCTTTTTAAATATTTTATGTGTTGTGCAGCTGATAGTCCCTGGCCAGTGAGAGCACAGCAGAAACCAGTGCAGTTATAACTTTTTATATCTTGTGGCTGTTGGCTCAAAGATATTTCAGATGAAAAATGAAAGATCACATGAAAACGGAAACCTGACCATCAGTTTTCAACAATAAGTTGGGAACCCTATTTTAGCCAGAGACGAGCAGCATAAATTCATCAAGAAAACCTCTTGATGACTGTATCATAACACATATTTTATATTATTATTTAAACAATTGCAAAAGGACAGAGTAGTGTTGTAGTACAAGTAATCTTAACAGTGGCATCACTGGAAAGTCATGCATGTACTGTGTATGTGGTTGGGAGTATCAAGGGCAGAAACCAAGAGTCACTATATACAGAAAAGAGAAGAGTTTTGTCCTCCTAAATTCAGGAAGAATTTCAGAGTCTCAGGCTGTGTCCAGACTCAGGGGTTTTTTCGGGAAAAGTAGCCTTTTTCCGAAAAAACTTCCCCTGCGTCCAGACTCAAGCCGCGTTCTTTCGAAATTAAATCGAAAGAACGCGGCTTTTCTTTCGATGGCGGTAAACCTCATTTCACGAGGAAGAACGCCTTCTTTCGAAAGTTCCTCTTTCGAAAGAAGGCGTTCTTCAATGTAAATAGGGCTTCTTCAAAAGAGAGCATCCAGACTCACTGGATGCTTTCTTTCGAAAAAGCACGCCGCTTTTTCGAAAGTTCAACGTGCAGTCTAGACGCTCTCTTTCGAAAGAGGCTCTTTCGAAAGAGGCTTGCAGTCTAGACATAGCCTCAGAGGGGTAGCCATGTTAGTCTGTAACTAAAAAAACCCCACAAAAAACAACAAATAGTTCTATAGCATTTTAGAGAGTAACCACAAAATATAGATCATATCATGAGCTTTCTTGGGGACCGTCTCCAGCAGACCAGGGACACCGGGAGCAAAGCCGCAGCCATGGCGGGGTCCCGCGCCTCTGAGGCTTTGCCAGAGCAAAGTGAATATGATGGAAGCATGTTGCATGGTTGCTGGAAAGAATTTGTTTCAGGTTAGGGGGTTGTCTGTAGGCAAGGACTGGCCTTTCCCCCAAGGCCTGTGAGAGTGAGGGATTGTTTTCCAGGATAGGTTGTAGATTGTTAACGATGTGCTGGAGGGGTTTAAGCTGGGGGCTTTGGTGATGATTGGCAGTGTTCTGTTATTTTGTTTTTGGGACCTATCTTGGAAGAGACTGATGTCTGGGTACTTGTCTACTCTGTCAATCTGTTTTTTCACTTCCCTGGGTGGGTAGTTAGGTTTTTGGAATGCCTTACAGAGACCCTGTAGGTGTTTGTCTCTGTCTGAGCAAATCCGGTTGTATCTTAGGGCCTCGCTGTAAACAATGGATCTGATAACGTGTCCTGGATGAAAGCTAGAGGAATGCAAGTAAGTATAATGGTTTGTAGGTTTCCGGTATAAGGTGGTGGAAATGTGGCCATCATTTATTGTACTGTAGTGTCAAGGATGTGTCTCTATTGTGTGGACTGGCCCAAGCTAAGGTTGATGGTGGAGACGAAGTTGTTGAAATCTCTGTGGAATTCTTTGAGAGTCTCCTTCTTGTAGGTCCATATGATGATGTCCATGTAGCATAAGTAGAATAAGAGTGTTAGGGGGAGAGCGCTGAAGAAACATTGTTTGAGGTCAGCCATAAAGATGTTGGCATATTGTTTGGCCAGGCGAGTGCCCATGGCTGTGCCACTGACTTGAACGTATAAATTGTGCCCAAATAGGAAATAGTTGTGGGTGAGGACAAAGTCGCAGAACTCTGTAACCAGGTGTGCAGTGGTGTCATCAGGGATAGTGTTCCTTATAGACCGCCTGTAATCCATCTTCATGTGGAATGTTGGTGTAAAGAGCTTCTACATCCATGGCGTCCAGGACAATGTTTTCAGAAATATTGCTGATCTTCTGTAGTTTCTTCAGGCATTCAGTGGTGTCTAGAAGGTAGCTAGGAGTGCTGGTAGCATAGGGTCTGAGGAAAGAGTCAACATAAGTAGGTAATCCTGCTGTAAGTGTGCCGATGCCTGAGATGGTGGGACATCTGGGATTTCTAGGTTTGTGGATCTTGAGTTTTCAGTGGAAAGCCTTAACTAAAGCCATGCTAACCGGTATTGCTATGATATAACTAATTGCTATCCCATTATAGAATCACCTATCAAAGTTAGTTCCTAAAAATCCTTGCTGCTTAATAAAAGAAAAGGACCTAATGCTTTTTATCAGATCAGCCAAGATTTGTGTCTTTGCTATTTCACAGTTCAGAAATGGCCAACGGCAGTTGTGATTAAAAGAGATTTCAAATTGTGGTCCCCTTTAAGAAAGAAAACATCAGTGGAGTGCAGAGATTAACATCAAGAAAACTGTATTTGAATAAGTCATTTGATTTACACATCAATGTTAAATTGTTGCTTGGAATTGCAAAGTAGTGATTTTATTGGCACGTCATCTTTTTTTTTTCTTTTTATGCCTGCTGCTAGCGATAAAAACCCATTACTTGCCTCTATGCAACACATAGAGAAAAGATGTTGATATATCTCGTATGTCTGTCTGACAATTGCAAGGTCCATTACTAGTGTTTGGCATTGAATACGTTGATAGGAGAAGCAAATAATGGCACATTTTACTTTTTGTTGTTTTAGTTGGCAGGGAAAAGCCCATGGGAACATCTGCAACACCCAACCAACAAAAGGGAGACACCAGAGAGTTTGAACACCATTTGGAAAAAGCCCAGAAGCCAGTGGCTCAGAGTCCATCAATTTCCCCTCCCACAAGTAAGGAATAGTTTTCAAAAATCTATATTGCAGTAATGTGATTTGTCTGCCTTTGACATATCTCTGTGATGGCCTATTCTACGGACAACAACGGATAGCTTTTCTAGACTGTTGCAATATACACTGTGGAGCTGAACTGCTCATTAACAGCCTTGCTGTTGTCTGAAAAAGCAGAGAAGTTTATCATTATTGGTTAGCCCATAGTCAGCCTATACATGATTTGACTAATTTCACTAGGCTGGTGTTGAATACATTCTTATAATATAGCCCATCTCTCTTCCCTACTACAATTAGCCACTCTAGATTCTATATAACTGTGCTAATACAGTACAGGGCCTATACAACTGCCCACTGAAATAAATGGAAGTCTTTCCATTTCATCTAGTTCACTTTGGATGAGATCTAAGTACCTTTAAAAAAAGTTTGGATATGGTTACATCATACTGTTGCATGTAGTTTATTGGTGGGGAGGGTGTCAGAATTCTTGGCCCAGTACTTTGCTGCACCCAAAATCCACTGGGTGAAGATGAGGAAACCCTGTTCCCAGGACTGGCTGGGTGAGACGTTATTAATGCTGGTTTGCTCCATATCCTCATGTGGCCCTCAAGAAGCCATAACCGGCTCAGCACTGCCGAAGCCTTCAGCAATTCTCTTCCCCTCAGTAACCTGCTACATTGAGGGTTGCATAAAGGCATTAAGACCATGTTGTTTAGAGCTGGTTGGTTCTCTAGTGTACAATGCCTAGCAGATTGTGGACAATACTACCGTACAAACAATAACAGCGATTCACCAGCGATACCACTTACAGTGGTAAGTGTTTGAGTTGGAAAACTCTGGGTTTTGGTGTCTTTTTTTTTCTTTTTGTAAAAGTTTCAGTATTTAATAAACAAAAAACCCCCAGACAAACACATTCCCCCCCGCCCATATTTCTAACCAAATGGAAATGTCTGCTCTTCAACCACAAAGATTGCTGTTTGATACTAACTGTTGGGATATGTAAAATGAATAGGGGTCTGGGATGGTGGTAAGGATTTCAGCCACAGCAGGCATTACCCTTGGACATGTTCTTTCCCTTAGTTTTTGTAGCCTAGGAAACCAGATAAGTATGGAGTTGCTCTATTTTGTTATGGCTCTTGCTTATCTTCATTGGCTCTGCATAACAGATCTTCAGGGTCAAATTCCTTGAAAAGTTGGTAGTGTAGAAAAGTGTTGATTCAATTAGAAATTCTGTAAATAGTAATTAGGGGTGGGTATAATTGTATTAATTATTTGGTTATTAATATCCATTTTATGGGAGTTCACATTACTAAATAAGGTTTTAGAAAAAGTAGTGATAAACGTGTGAATTAACATCCATATTCTGGCAGGATCATGGATGTTGCCAGACCAGAGAGTTCCGTTTCAGGGACAACAGTGCAATAGTGAAAGTGAGGGGCTAAATGGCCACTATCAGAGACCATAGTGTACCAAAGACTGGAAATTTGGACGGGCCCTGACTTCGGGTTAGAAGAGAGTTATGATGCTAGCTCAGCTTCTCTGCCAAAGCCACAACCTCTTCTCAGCCCTGCTGCCCCCAGTCACAAGTTTTCATCTGCTGAGCTCTTACGTGCATGGGGGTTGCACAGAAAAAAGCAAGGCAGAGCTGCCTGAGTGTGGCTTTCTACAAGGCATAGTTCCATCCTGAATGGCAGGTGCCTGAATGGTGCTCTGGGCTGCTGTGGCAGCACTACATGCCTGCTCAGATATGGGTGGGTGTGGATGCTATGTGGAAGGGCCACAGGGCACCCAGAGCCACCAGTGGCTACACCCCTGATCAGAGAACTACATAAGTAGCTGCTACCCCAATACTGAGGGTACCTGTATTAAGCAGAGTCTTTTAGGAGAGATTTACTGTATCCTTTGTGCTCCTTTCAGACACATTCTATACACCTTGGCAATTGTATATTTTTAGTATGCTTTATTTACAAAGTAAAAAAAATTGACTTCTGTTTAGTGGAAATGATGATGCAGAGAGACAATCACAGGATTGATCTACTTATTGCATAGGATTCACCCTGGAGATGATTTTTCCCCCTTATAATTAACCTTGACATAACTTGCCAGAGAATTTATTAGAATTAGTCCTCATTCATTTTATTCTAGAGTCAATGTGAGCAAAGACAAAGGTAGAACGACTCGCTGAAACAGCTTGACTATTTGTCACTCCATCACAATGTTCCTCTTAGAGCTGTCAGACTGAATGTTTGTCGTAATGGATTTGTATCCTGGTGCTCTGGAGTGTATAAACTCCCATGATTAATTCAGGTTAACCATCAAATCCTCTTGCTAGACTGAAATATCTCATAAGACTCACAGACTTTAAGGTCAGAAGGGACCATTGTGATATTCTAGTCTGACCTTCTGAACTTTGCAGGCCAAAGACCCTCACCCACCTACTCCTGTAAGAGACCCCTGACCTCTGGCTGAAGGCAAAAACCCTAGGCTACGCTTGCACTACAGGGTTTTTGTCCAAGAAAATTTACAGTCGAATGGCAGAACAGAGGGCTTTTTGCGGTGTAGGTATACCTCTTTCTACGAGGAATAACTCCTTTTTGTGCAAGAGTTCTTGCACAAAAAGATGTGTGTGGACACTCAACAGGGGTTTCTTGCTCAAAAAGAGTTCATCAGAAAAAGCATAGGTGCTCGAATAGCCATTCTGTTAATGGCAGTCAGAGTTTCCTTGCGCAAAAGCATCCATGCAGTGTGGACTTTTGTAGTGTGGACGCACTTTTATGCAAGAAGTTTTTGCGGAAGATCTCTTCCACAAAAAGTTTCTTGCGCTAAAAGCCTGCAGTGTAGACGCAGCCCTAGAGACTCTGCTGATCTGATCTGTAGGACAATTCCTCCCCAGTCCCAAATATGGTGATCAGTTAGACCTTGAACATGTGGGTGAGACCCACCAGGCAGATACCTGGGAGAGAATTCTGCCTAGTAACTCGGAGCCTTCCCCAGCTAGTATCCCATCTCTGGACATTGAGGATTTTTGCTACCTATGTTGCGGATGGGCCATATGCCATTGTAGGCAGTCCCATCAGCCAGGTTTCTTAGCCCCCTACTGCTCCCACTAGGAAGGCAGTTCCAAAGCTCCACTCCACTGATGGTTAGAAACCTTTGCCTAATTTTGAGCTTGTACTTATTGATGGCCAATTTATACCCATTTTTTCTTAAAACTGTGGTAAGCTAATGCCATTAACGTACATTCCTACAAAATAACTGATTATAATATGAGATTAGCGTTGTTCAGGTATGAATGATCAGAACATTAGGATATAAACATAATTAGTTTCAAGGCAGGGGCAGTGTCTTCCTCTGTTTTTGGGAAGCAGTAGTGTACTTATTAGAATCTGCCATGATTTTTCCTCCTCTTTGTCAGTAACAGCTGGAGGCTGTTAATCTTCAAGTGCAAGGCCAATCAGGACATTGGTGAAGGCCAGGAATGACCAAGAGAGTGTAGGAGAGTATCTGGAAAGGATTCTGTAAAGGGATTTAAATTAAATTTGATTCTCTGTTATTGCCAGGGTGCTCTTTCAGTCTTGAACAATGAAAATTTCAATAAATTATACGGGACAGATTATAAGCCTGTTACTGCTGTTGTACAGTTTCAGAGGAGTAGCTGTGTTAGCCTGTTTAAGCAAAACCAACATGGAGTTCTGTGGCCTCTTAAAGACTAACACATTTATTTGGGCATAAACTTTTGTGTTCTGGAGCCTACTTCATCAGATGGATGAAAATGCTCATAAATAAATTTGTTAGTCTTGAAGTGCCACAGGACTCCTCGTTCTTGTTATGTAGAAGTTTATTTCACAAATAGATTCATCAGTTTACAATGATGTAAGATGCATTTTCATGTGGACAACGATAAAAATAACGTGTCTGGAAAGAACTCTATCTAAGGGTATGTCTACACTACAAAGTTAATTCGAACTAACAGACGTTAGTTCGAATTAACTTTGATAGGCGCTACACTAGCGCTCCGCTAGTTCGAACTTAATTCGAACTAGCGGAACGCTTAGTTCGAACTAGGTAAACCTCATTCCATGAGGACTAAGCCTAGTTCGAACTTATTAGTTTGAATTAAGGGGTGTGTAGCCCCTTAATTCGAATTAGTGGGAGACTAGCCCTCCCCAGCTTTCCCTGGTGGCCACTCTGGCCAACACCAGGGAAACTCTATTGCCCCCCTCCCGGCCCCGGAACCCTTAAAGGGGCACGGGCTGGCTACGGTGCCCGTGCCAGGTGCAAGCCTGCCAGCACCCTGCCAGCACCCAGCCAGCAGACCCTGCACCTGGCACGGCACAGAGCCACCCACCCGATGCCCCCCAGCCC